TGACCTAGAATGAAACAGGTCAACATATTATTTTAGGGACACACTACCTGGCGTAATCTTTGTCGCTTGGTCAAATGCAAAACTCAAAGCAATCTTGTATGATTTTGGTCATCTTGACCTTCAAAAGGTCAAAAAGGTCACTGACCTTAAATGACCATGTCATCTTTTGCTTAGAAACGGTTATGTAGGTTATGGGGGCACTTTGGAGACCAGCCTGGAACTTGAATTTTTTTACCTTTTTTGACCCAAAGGTTATGACCTAGGAAACTAAATCTTTGACCTAAGTGAGTTCACGTACAGGTCAACACACCTTGTAAATTTGATGTCTCTAGCTTTCTTAGTTCCCTAGATCTCAGGGGGGTCAAATTGACCCTCACCCCACCCGAGCGAAGGGTATCGAAGGCTAGCGATATGAACAAAGTCGAAAGCCCGCCGCGCGAACCGGTATTTTATTCCTTAACGCCTTGGGTGTACGTCGGGAGCCGTGGCGGAAAGCACCGTCATGTAACGCCTTAGTCTAGGCTCATTTGCGAGCTCCATTTTTTAAACTGTTATCAGCAAAAGGGTGCATCAGTGACACCACGAATGGGCTGACACGCTGATGTAGTTTTCAACGCTAGATCACGCATAATTTTGACCGTAGCGGCTTGTGTTCGGCTTCAATTTTTAAAACTCGACCCGTTGCAAATTGCATCACAATTTTCAGGGCAACGGTGCGTTGCAGAACCTCGCGATGCACGCTGAAAATGTAGCCGCTTCAATTGTGAATGTTGAGAAACAAAATGCAGGCCTCCACCTTTTCCCCGTGCCAAGATATGACGGTGAACGTAAAACCGCGTCAAAAACGGCCGATTTCATCTTGTCAACACGTGTGCACGTGCCACATGTGGCGTGGCGCCAAAAACACACCCAATTGTGATGGCCCATTCCGTGCGCTATCGGACTGTGCAAGTTTCATGTCGTTGCGACCGTTGGTTACCGAGAACGGCTTTGGGAAGCGAAGGGTCGGCCGGTCGTCTTGAAACTGGCGTCACCCGTGTTAACCCTGTGGAATGTTGTTCGGCACGCGCTCATTCTTGCGAAATGCGAAATTTTGACGCGACTCAGAAAAGCGCAGCCGGCGCACCTCAGTCGTGTGAAAATTTCATTCAAAAATTCCTTACCGTTTGGCCTGCAGGCGACGCAACGGACACACACACACACACACACACACACACACACACACACACACACACACATTGTTTCTTGAGTGATTTAGAGAAGATAATATAGAGAAGATATTTGCGGCTACAATAATTTAGTAGACGTTGGTGGTGAAATTTTCACTAGCAGAGCTCCGTGTGTTGGCTGCGGAAACACCAAGTGAACGAGATCTTACTTACTGGCCAGAAGTTTTGGCTTTATCATAGAACGTCACGAGCGAGAAAATCAAGAACATCTATCAAGAAAAAATATCACAAAAATCATGCTCCCTCTGATTTCTTGGATGCAAACCCAGCCATTCGCACCACGCCGTCTCATCTAAACGCAAACTGACGATGCTGGCAGGGAGGTCTCAAGCACTGTGAGAACATACAGAGCGTGGAAACCAACAGAGCTCACAGAGGTCGCAGCACCTTTAAACACCTCGAGGACGTGTAGCGTCCCACTTACGTGCGGGTTCCACGGACGCGAGCTCTGACCTGTTCGTCGCACATCAATAT